TCGATCGTCGCGTCCGAACTCGAGGCGATCGAGGAAGCCTCGCGATCCGTCGGCCCCGCAGACTCACCCGCCGCCGCCGCCGCCGCCTCAGCCGCCGGATCTGCTGCTGTCGTCGCCACCGTCGCTCCGTCCAGCTTTGGTGTCGGTGCGCCTGGTCAACTCAGCCCAAATCCCACCGATCCAGCTGTTCCTTTGGCCACGCCCGCTCCGATCGACGCGGCATGCGGGCAAGGCGACATGTTCGACGCTTCGCCGACGCCTGGTGGTGGAGAGCCAACCCCACGGTCCACCTCGCCGCCTCGGCCGAGCTTCGCGGAGAGCCTTGGCGAGTTGCAGGCTTGTATGGCGAGGTCGTCGCTGGGGACGGGTGGAGGCTCCTCAGCGGTCGCCGTCGCGATGGCTTCCGCAGACGCTGGGGCCAAAGAGGCCCGTGGCTTCAACGGTGCCAGTGACTCCGATGCCACGCGCCTCTCTGCATCGTCTGACGAGGAGTGCAGGGCCGCCGACGATTGCGCGACGGACAAGCCAGGCGCAGGCTGCCCGGTCCCTGTTCCGGTCGGTGCCCCTGCTGCCGAACGTGAGGGTGCAGCACAAGAGGAGACCACTCGGGCGGTGGCGCCACCCGCCCAGCTTCGAGAGATCCGAGCAACGTCCTCTCTGCAAAGGCAGCCTCAGCCACAGGCGCCGCCAGCCCTTCCGCCTCCACAAGTGGTGACGCCAGCCCTTCCACCAATGCCGCCAGCACGGCCATTGCAACCGGCGGCGACGGCGTCGGTGGCGGTTCGGCCACGCCATCTGACCTCCACCGCTCCGCGCCCACCGCCTCCGGGCCGCACCCTGTTTGCGGCGCGGGCTCAGGGTCAGGCGCCTCCCGCACCAGCAGCGCCGCACGCAGCAGCGAGCGCAAGCAGCGCCACTGCTGCGCCCTCCGCTGCCGCCGCCAGCCGATTGCCTGGCCAACTCGCCATCGCTGGAGGCGTTGCCACGCGGCGTGCCCCCTCGAGCGCGTACGCCACGCCTCACGCGGCCAGCTCCCACACCGCCTCGCGCTTGCTCGCTGCCGGTGGCGACGGCGCAAAGACGCGGCTGCCGGAGGCCGCGAGCGCCTTTGAGTTCACCAACGTGCCCTCGCACATCTCCCACGACCTGGCTGGCGCGGGCCCACCCGCTGCGCTGCCCACGGCACCTCTTGCCCCGCCCACAGGCCCTTAGAAGCCGCTGCGTCAGGAAGAGGCGTGTGTGGCTGTAGGGGCCCCAGCCCAGCGCACTCCACGAGCCGGTGGCCTCGAGCGCTGTCTCTGCCCCCGCACCGCCGCCGCTGGAGCTGGTGCGCCGACCCCCGCTCTCGCCTCGTCCGTCGGCATCTCTGCAGTCGCGTGCGTGCAGCGAGACGCCGCGGCCAAGCGCGTCGAAGCGACCAGCGGCGTCGCCAGCAGCTACGCCGACGGCGGCGGCGGCTGGTGACGCGGCGTCGGTTGCTGCATGGAGGCGCGAACCAAAGCCTCCGAGCCGAAGCCACCCGCACCACGCGCACCACGGCGTGCGTTTCCCTCTCACTGCTTCTGTCGCGCGCGTGCGCACAGGAGCCCCTCCCTCGCACGACTCTCGACGCCGTCTCCGGCAGCGGCGCAGCGCGGGGGGCGGCGGCGCGGCCTCTCGTCTCACTGTAGCCGGGGCAAAGCGCGGCACTGTCGATAGGCCCTTGCTGCCAAACACGCCGGCCACCACGCGCTGTCGAGCGTCCCTCGGGAGGTGCTGCAGGCGTGGCCAAAGACCGCTTCGAATCATGATAGATCACACTTATGATCACCCCTCCACTCTTCAGCATCTCTCGCCGCCCCCCTCTGTTGTGGCGTATGTGCGTGCCTTCCCAGGCTGTCGCGCTCTTTGGCCTCGACGACGCTCTCGCGACGTTGATCAACCCTCCGGCGCGCATGGCCATGGCCGGCGCGCTGCCGGCGGCTGCAACGCCCTCGCCCGGCCAGCAGGTGTTGGCGGCTGGCCTTGCCCATCGCCACTCACCCCCCCTTCACCGCAGCGCATAGCGGCATATCGCCTCTCGCCTCTCTGATCTCGCTATCCCCGCAGGCGTGGTACATGCAGGGCCCGTGCGCGCCCCTCTCGCCCGGGGCTGCGCCAGCTGCAGCGACGACCCCGCACCGGCCGCTGGGCCCACCACGGCGGCCGCCGCACAGCGCTGAGCGGGCCGCGTCGATGACATCCACCACCATCACGGCGCCCTTCCCCCCCCCCCCCCCTCCTCCTCCCCCTTTCCCACCTCCTCCTCCTCCCCTTCCCCCCTCTCCACTCCCTTCCCCCTCCCCTCCGTCTCCACCTTGATTTCACCTCCCCCCCCCCGCGCCCGCCGCACTGCCTGCTGCGCGAAGATGCCGCCCCTACGACGCCCGGTCCATCCTCTCCGCTCAGGCGCGGGTCCCCCAAAACAAGAAGAAGCGGCGGCGCGCCGGCCACGCCGTCTCTGCGCGGTCTGCACTCGGCCCCGTGCGCAAGCTCGACCTCTTCGCTGAGGACGACTGAGGTGGAGGCTCAGCAAGCGCGGACACTCGTGCAGAGTGCGCATCGCGACTTGCTCTCGAGATGGCTGGGTGGGCTGGTTTGCATTGGGCTCGGAACGCGAGGTGCGGGGAGGGGAACCTGGGGGTGGCATCTCTTTCCCTCTCTGTCTCCATGTTGCGGCGCGGCAAAACCGGGCGGGGCGCACACCGCATTTCAGTGCACCCTCGCGGCCCTCGCGGCGGGTGGGACAAGCCGCGTCGATGAGCGAGGTCGTGTGAGATTTTCCTTCACCACTGTCCTGTGTGGAGCGTCAGAGCGCGCGTCCGAGCCGAGACATCCGGTCCGGTGGCATCCCCCACACGGCGGGACACTACCCTCTCTCTCGTCGAGTCTCGAGAGAGATTCGCTGAGCGTGTGGCTGTGTGACGTGTGGGCGTGTGGGCGTGGTGACTGACCACCAACCTGGTTTGTGGACCTCCCACACCTGTCCTGACAGTCCTGACAGAGTCCTGACAGAGTCCTGACGACTTAACAAATTATCCCGTGACGAAAAACGAACACACACCAAGCGCTAAGCGTGAGGACACGATTTCGAATTCGTAGGCGAGCATCTGAGCAAAATTGAGCCCGCTCAGGTGTGAACAAAAGATATAAGGGTCGACCAGGTTTCGAACTGGGGACCTCCCGCCAGCGGAAGGCTTTCAGCACGATACGCTGGGGTTGAAACTAGGTCTCAGCTCGGGAAACCTATATAGCATACCGGAGGAATTAGACACCACAGATACGCACACACCGACGCCCGAAGTGCCAAGAAGGACGTCATTAGTACGAAACCTCAGAAGGCCATGGGCGCCGAGAGAACATTCCCCCGAGAGGACAAAAGAAAGTCGACGCACCCCCTCCTTGCGCAGTGTCCCCCGCTATATGTGTCTGTCGCGGGGCAGGTTTCCGTATGGATGGCGTTGGAGCCCGAGGGTTGCGGAAGGCACGCGGCGGGGTCGGGCACTTGGTGGTGGTGCCGACCGCCGCCACCGGGGGCCGCCGCGCCGTAGAGCGGCCCGTCGGTCTTCCTACCGGCGGTGCGCGCGGCCGCGCTCGGAGGCGCTGATTGCTCGGCCGCGCGGGGCCGGATGACTCGCCCGCTGGGGGTGTGGTGCACGGGGTTTGCGGCGGGGCCCCCATCGTCCCCGGGGCGGCGCGCGGGCGGCGGCCCGCGCGCCGCCGCCGCCAGGGTGGCGGCGATGGTGGTCCTCTCGGTGGTGGTGTCGGTTTGCGCTTCCGCCTCGCTCTCTATGGTGTCGAAGAGCACCTTTGTCTCCTGCTCGAGGTCTCAGACGCGAGCCCCGAGGGCTCGCGCTCGCGACCTGCCCCGGAGAGTCTCGAGCTGCACACGGAGGCGCTTGACCTCCGCGCGCGCCCACGCGAGTTCGGCGTGGTTCGCCCGTCTCTCGGGCTCGTGGGACGTGCCGTCCAAGTCGACGTAGCGATCTCCCTTGTCTGGGGGAAGATCGCCCTCCGTGTCTGCCTCCTTTCCTGCAGTCCGCCGCGGTGGGCTCGTCGAGCCGCGACGTGCCGCGTACTTGCGCACCTCGGGCAGCGCCGGGGGCTTGCCCGTGTGGGGAGCACGGCCGCCGGCCGCAATGCCCGTCCGGACACCGTCGCCCAGGGCAGCTGGCGTCAGGAGCGACCGGCTCTGCAGCCGCAACTGCTCCCATTCGGGGGCACCCTCGCCGGGTGCGCCGTACGCCTCATCGCTCGGCGGTGGCACGGGGTGCCATCGCGCATCGTGATACCACTGCGTGCCGTAGTCTCGTGACCCGTGGCGGGGATCGCGATCCGCGCCGGGGGCCTCCTTGGTGTCGTATGCCTCGTGCATGCCTGCAGGAGCGTGCGTCCCTGCGGTACGAATCCCGACTTGGCTCGCAGCGCTCGCACTGCCGTCACGGTCGGCTGCCCCGCAGGACCATGTCCTCGGCGGGCCGTCCCACCCCGTGGTTGTGTAATTCGCCTCGGCGTCTCCCGCCGGTGCGTTCCTCTGGGCTCCCCGCGATAGGGAACCCACGGGCGATGTCGCAGCCCATGCCGCTGTATCCAGCCCCCAAGGGTGGTCGAGCTCGAGGTGCGTTCCCCACGGGTCCGCCTCGAGTCCGTCCGGGTCGTCAGACCCGTAGGATGCATAGTTCGCCTCGACGTCTCCCGTCGATGCGCTCCTCAGGGCTCCCAGTGATTGGAGACCCACGGGCGATGCCGCAGCCCATGCCGCTGCATCTAACCCTTGAGGGTGGTCACGCCCGTGCGCCCCCTGGGGGTGCGCCTCGAGCCGGTCCGGGTTGTTAGGCCCGGAGGTTGTATAGTTCGCCGCATCGTCGTCTCCCGACGATGCGCTTCCCCAGGTCCTCTCTCGCAAGAGGCCAATAGGAGGGCCACACTGTCCTGCCCACCAGATCGCGCCTCGAGATCTTCTGCGACAGCGAGCGGTGGTACCCTGCGACCGTCATGGCGCGGGAGGAGGACGCGGACGGACGGATCGTGCACGAGGTCGAGTACAACGGCTACTCGGGTAGGCGGTGGTGGCACATGCTGGACGACGAGCGGTGGCGCGCCGTCCCAGAGCAGGCTGGCGCGGGCGCAGGCGGCGCTGCTGCAGACGGCGATGGGGATGCGGCGATGGACCGCGCGGACAGCGAGCATGGCGCCCGTGCCGCGGGCGCCGCCGAGGCGGCCGAGGTGCGGCCGGCGCCGCCTCCTGTGCGCCGGGGTGTGCGGCGCAGCGCGCTGGCGGACGCCCTCGAGGCGGAGGATGACGAGCAGCAGGAGGAGGCCGCGCGCGGCGATGGGCGGCCGATACCCGCAAAATACCCGGTATTTTGCCGATTTTGCTGAATTTGGCGGCAAACCAGCCTCAGACTCGGCTCAGAGCTCGAAAAATTGATGATTCCACGGAGTTTCGTATTTTACCATACCACTCTCTGCTCCCGTACCACTCCCCAGGAGAATAAAAATAGTGGTAAATACCACTCATTTACCAGTAAATGGCAAGCACTGCCTCACTGGCCCTCAGTCACTTGTGCTGCGGCTCGGTGTGAGCGACACTGCTCGGTGCTGCCGGCACACTGTGAGACCATGGGTGTGAGGTAAACCACCACGCTACCACCTACCAGCGCTTGGTAGACGACGCAGGGCAGAAGACGGTGAGGCGGAGCAGACGCGCAGGGCGAGACGAGGGAGGGAGCAGGAAGACTTTGCGGAGATCAGCAGGAGGATGTACGAAGAGATTAGGAGCAGCAGGGACCCAAGGGACCATGTGGAAGACGGCTAGGAAGACGGCTAGTGCTAGTCCCCCATCGGGAGGACGACCCCGGCTAGTCGCCGACCACACCCACAAAGAACCCTGCACAAAGATCGCAAGGGCGGGGACCTGTTCCTTTTTACCCATCTCACAGTAGAGAGGTGTCCGTTTTTATATATTTATTTAGCGCTTGGTCACATCGGCCCCCGAGGTCAGATGTAAGGTAAGGTAAGGTAAGGTAGACTTCTCCACACACACGAGGTGGTGGGGCAAGGGGGGGCGACCCTCGCGTCTCCACGTCTAACGACAGGAGCCCCACGGCATTTAAAGTGCAAGGCCCGGTGCGCGTGGGTGAGCGGTGTGTGTGTGTGTGTGTGTGTGTGTGTGTGTGTGTGTGTGTGTGTGTGTGTGTGTGTGTGTGTGTGTGTGTGTGTGTGTGTGTGTGTGTGTGTGTGTGTGTGTGTCACGTCACTGCATTCCTCTGCCGGTTCCTCCCGTCGCCTCTTCTTTGTTCGAATGTTTTTCAATCCATCCTTCACGAAGCCCTCCCATGTAGCTAGCGTTCTTTATCGCAAAGGTCAGATGTCCATCTAGAGAGTAGAGTACGGCTCTACTCTTTTGATGACAAGAAACTCTTGAGTCTGGGTCAGAGCTTGGCTCTCACGGCCCACACACACACGCCCATCCCCCGCGCGCCCACCGCGTCCGCCCGCTCGCGCCCCTCTCAACAGTACAACACACAAACCCCCCGTTGGCCGTTGATCACGGCATCACGCTCGCTACAGCAACGGACGTCCTCTTGCACACAGCAGACTACAATACACCCAAGCACCGCGCCGGTAGCATGGCACGCAACACATCGCGCAAGCTTGCGCCCCGATGAGCGCCCCCGAACCATACGGTGAGTGCGACCCGCTCGGCCGAGCACTCTCCGTGAGGCAGCACCTCGTGGAGCATTCGGCGCGAGTCAAACAGGACGAGCGTCCCCGCCACCGGCCGCACCTCTGCGACGCGGCTCGCGGTCGCGCCCCGCTCGTCCTCTGCTGCCGCGTCGAGGTAGAGCACCAGGCTTCCCGGCCGCCCCGCGGCTGCCCCTCCCGTGGCAACAACCTCCCCGCCGCCACTCGCGCCCGCCCACTCATCCTCGTTCGGCGAGAGGTAGAGGACTGCGGTCACCTCTCGCATGTAGATGCCCGGGAGGAGAAGAGCGCGAGGGTGCAGGCTCGCGAAGCCGTCCCGATGCGGGCGGTAGCGAGCGCCGCTGCACTGGCCCTCCCGGCTGGCAGCGGGCTCGTAGCACGCCAGCTGGCCCTCGCGCGGCACGCCTAAGAGTGGCCTGGCCGCCTCTGCGCCCTCGACGCGTGCCGCCTCAAAGCCACCGAAGCTCCGCATCGTCGCTGGCAGCGCGCGCAGCTCGGCGAGCGCTGCCACCAGGGCGGGCTGCGCGGCTCTGATACCGAGCCAGTGTACCGAGTCGGTCCGGACCACCTCCCCGCCGACGGCAGGCGCGAATGCGCCGGCCTTGCGCATCGCGGCGACCTCGGCGCGAGCCGCCCGCAGGTGGGCGGCCGTGAGGAAGCGAGCCACCACCACATAGCCGTTCGCTGCGAGGTCCGCCTGCTGACTCGCCGAGAGGCGCGGCGGCGCGGTGCTCGAGAGGCGGAGGAGACGTGCAGCCTCGCCCAAGCCTTGCGGGTCTTCGCGATACGACACCTCGCCGATGGCGTTGACTCCGGCGAGCGTGGTGGCAAGCGCAGCGCCGGCGGACGCCGTGCGGCCGGCGACTCGAAGCATGTGTACACACACATAGGAATCCTACGTTTGTGCGCTGGATTCGGGACCGGCTGGGTTGGTGCTTGGTGGGTTGCCCTGCGACCACCCACCCTTGTTTGTGTCTGTGTGTCGCTCGGTGTCTGTGTGTCGCTCGTGCGTCTCGTCATCATCTGTCTCGGGTCCACCCATACCGCGTTGGTGTCCAGTCCGAGCGTGTGTGTGTGTCGACGGGTAGGGGGGCTGAGCCCGGGCGGTGTCCGGTGTGGAGTCCCCTTCTGATCCCGCCTGGGATGTTGGGTGTGAGGTTGTGGCGGCTTCGATCCCAAGGGGGGGAGCTGATCCCACTCAATAACCAACTCTCAGGGGCAGTAGGTGGGCGAGCTTCAGGCACGCTCATCTCGATCGTCAAGACGTCGCTACGCGCGGTCTTCCGCGGGGGGAGCTGCGTCGACGGGTGCGGGACCGCGGCGCAGCCAGTGCTGCGGCGATGCCTCCGGCTGCTGCGGCGAGTGGTGTGCTGCTCGCTGCGATGGCGAAAAACTCGTCTCGCCACACGCCAAGGGCTTATGCTCTGGCGAGACGTGAGGCGCATGCGCCCAGGAGGGGAGGGGGCATGTGTAACGACACTGCTAGAGATGCCTTTCGGGGCCCAGAGATAAAACTTCTGTGATGCCATGCGTGACCTAGTAGTGTCCCCAGCTATGGGCGTGTCCACGTTGGAGCGGAGCCAGGTGTGGTGTGGGCGCGAGAATAGCTCCGCCGTTCATGGAGGCAACCGATGCGAGTCGACTGGTGTGTGTCGTCGTGGTTTCGTATCAAGAATACTCACTCACTCACACTCCAGTCCGAGCCTGGCTGTTCTTCACCTTCCTAACTACAAACTGACTATCTATCTACTAACTAACACCCTTCCTAGGTCGGACTGTGTTTCGCCTTCCTATCTATCTATCTATGATCAGATCTAGCACAGACGGTCGAGAAGGGCTGTTCTTCACCGTCGGTACATACATGGTTTGTTTTTGTCTCATGGTTTGAGAGAGAGATTTTAAAGACCAACAAGAAA